GAGCACAGATCCACTGAGAAACTTGCTGTTTCAGCAACATTTAATTTAAAAAACTGTATTTTTGAGGTTAAACAAATGCTCGTACTTAATTTAAATAAATTACAAGTTAAAAAGGGCATGGACATTTTTTTTTCTGTATYGAAAAAATATCGAACCGTGAGACTAAAGTATTGAACCGAATCGTGAATTTTCTGTATCGTTGCACCCCTATATGTGTATATGTGCATTGTTATATATTTTGTGTATAGTGTTATCTTATCTTAAACAACAAGRGCTGATATGAAAGTTATCTATACGAGACAAACAAATTGTAATTTCAGCCTGAGTTATATAGTAAACTTCACTGGTGATGAGCTGAGGGCACCAGGCTGTCTCCATATTTACAGAATGATACACAAGAGGAAATCATAACTTGTTATCTCGAGAAAAGGCTAATTGTTATTTCATGATAACAACAAATTATGTTATGAAAAAAATAAACATGGAAAAAAAAAAGAACTGTGGGAAACGTCCGCTCTTGCCTTCCGTAGATTTGCAGGAATCAGCAGGCTTACAACAGAAGTTGATTTTACGCATGGCTGTAGGAAACAGGAAGTAGAGGTTGCAAATAAATAAAAATGAATTAAATATGGGGACAGTGGAGATATTTTTTTCAGCTATGTGTTGCTGTGAGTTGTTATTGTTCTGTCATGTCAGCTAGTGTTGGTGATGCTACGAACTCATTCCTCCAGCCTCAAGAAATAACAAAAATCTTGTTTTCTCGGACATACGAAGGCTTTGGATGAAAAGGTTTCCTCACCGAGAGCGATGCTGTAACTTTAGCAGCTGACAAAACAATAAATCTGGAATCTGTTTGACTCATCTTACAGCTTTAAATTCATCAGATTATTTTCTGAATATACATTTTTCATGAGTTTAATGTGAGCTGAGAGTTCAGTAACTGTTGTATTTAAGCTCTCGTAGTGAGATTAATGTTCCCGCCGTGTCTGAAGTTATGAATTATGAATGCAAATATGTTAATGATGAGAATCAGTTAAGCTTCGTGGTAACCATGACCACCGGCGGGGCGTTTTATTACTCCTTTACTGATCTGGTCAGAGGGCAGGAACCTGCAGTCTCTGCTGTCCACCTCGATTAACAACTGACCTTTCATTTCAGCTTCAGCGCCGGTGGTGAGGCACGAGGCTCTGAGGATTATGTTTTTACCTCTGTGTGTGTGTCTGTTAGCAAAATATCTCACGAGCCAACAGATGGATTTCAGTTAAACAAATTCTTCAAAATACGTCTATACAGTGATAGATGTAGGATTTTTCTGAGTAATGGGCCACAATATTCATAGACAGGCCATTTGTGCATCCATCCACACATTCCCCATAGTTTGGTAAGGTGTATACATTCAACCATTCACATGTTCAAACACTTGTAATGTATTTTAAAGGGATCCTTGATTATTTGTAACATTAAACTTTGTTTGATTGAAAAATACTTTATTTGATAAACATTTATTTTAACTGCAAAATAAAGACTAAATATACTGTAGGCTGTTTAGTTTTGTAAATGTTTTAAAAAAAATTTAACACGGACGGAGCCATTTTATTTCCACACAAAGCATTCTGGGTAAATGATGACGTGGATAGGTCCTCGGTGTGAGGCTGCTAGCGAGCTATATCCACCCTGAAGGTTAATCTTGGACAATATCTGATGATCGACTCTTTTAAATGAAACCAGAGAGCGTTGACAGAGAGGAGAAGGTAGAAATGACTCAGCCTGGAACTGAAAATATGGATGGAGGACCTCAGTTTAGCTTGTTAGTTTGTCGCGCTAGCACTGAGCTAATACAGGCAGTGTCCAAAACGGCAGGACGGGTCCTCCGAAGGCCGAATTCGTCGGCCGCATGCGTCACAGCCCTGCGACAAAGGACGTCCAAAACCGAAGACTCCTCTGATGTGGCCGACAAATACGTCCTTCCTTTGGCCCGAATCGAAGGACAGGTCCGATGGATCCTTCCCGGCCCAACGTATCCCATAATGCATTGCGGCCCGACCGGAGATTTTTTTATGCTAGTAATGGTGGACGAAGCGAGAGAAAAGAATACATTTTAAATAAAAATATGGCGATATAAAAATTTTTAAAAAATTAGCGGTTGTAATTCTAATACTTTTATCATTTGTATGGACATGTTTTTAAATATTATTTTTATCATAAAAAAATGCGAAATAAACATGAACCTACAGCGGGTCAATTAGTTCTTCAAATGTTACCTTTAAGTTAATTTTATAGTTTTGTGATATTAATAATGCTAATGTATTGATATTTTTCTAGTTTTGATTTAAGTTTGCTTGTTTGCATCGTCACAGTTGCTAGGTGACATGACGTACGCCGGGGTAAGGAGGGGAGGCTAGACCGTCCAAATTCACAGCCTCTTTTTTTCCGGTCTTCCTGGTCTACCAAGGACCCGGCCCGCCGAGACCGGGGAGTCTGGGTCCTCCGGAGGACACGGCCTGTCGTTTTGGACACAGCCATAGCGTTGGCGCTAAAGCTAACAGGCTAAGCTGAGGTTCTTCTTCCATGAAGCAGCTCTGTTGTCCTCCATCCATATTTTCAGTTCCAGGCTGAGTCATTTCTACCTTCTCCTCTCTGTCAACGCTCTCTGGTTTCATTTAAAAGAGTCGATCATCAGATATTGTCCAAGATTAACCTTCAGGGTGGATATAGCTCACTCACACCGAGGACCTATCCACGTCATCATTTACCCAGAATGCTTTGCGTGTACATAAAATAGCTCCCTCTGTGTTAAAATATATATTTTTAAATTATAAACTAAACAGCCTACATTATTTTTGCAGTGTTTATTTTACAGTTAAAATAAATGTTTATCAAATAAAGTCTAATGTTACAACTAATCGGGGATCCCTTTAATAAAAATTAAAAAACCTGCACAGTAAATCCTCCTTGCCAATTTTACCTGCATTTCACTGTACTTAGATAAAATACTCTCAAACACACAGCATGAGAAAATCCATCTGTTTGTCTTTTGAAAGACTTTGTCTGCAGGATTTTTAAAAAAATATAAATTCTGTAAGCTTCATTCATGCTGGACTTTTTATATGACTCACTAGCGCCACTTGTGTTTGGACATGGGACTGCGTCCACCATCAACACTTTCAAGCAAAGGACAGATGAGTGACAGGACAAGAGGCACTTCAGGGGTCCGATCAAATTTCAGTTGGGGCCAATGCCCCTGTGGCCCTGCCCCTAGATCTATAACTGATAAACCTTTGAATTGAATCAAATTCAAGATGGCTGCTGCAGTTAATCTACGAGGTCAATGTTGTTTAGCGTGTAAGCAGGTGATTTAAAATAGTTTCCTGTCAATCACTGACTGGCAAGTCAAAGGTCTCATGTTTGCCCTTGAAAATCTTCATTTCAGTTCTGTCAAAACTGCTTTACGCAGCTCTGTAAACTCACCCATGTTGCAGCAGCCTCAAAGACTCGGATTCGCTTTGATTCAAGCTCTTTGATGCAGCTGAGGAGAGGCGACAGTTTCTTTACGATCGTCCTTTAAGATCTCTGACTTTATTCATTTATAAAGGGGGTGAATCACCCCGAGTTTGCCCCTCCTTCACAACAAACACTCCTGTATCTGTTCACTTTAAATGCCAGGATGGTGTGGATTTATTACAACTAACTATGATTTTTTAACTTTAATAAGTCGTAAAACAAAGAAAACCCATTTTTTAAAAAATTAGTCATTTCCAGTGAAGGCCAACAGGAGGCTTTGCCAAGTGGTTTACTTTTAACAGCTCGCACATTTTGAATCTTACTCCAATATTTACACATGTAACAAGAAATAAAAAAAAAACAAAAATAACTTTAGAGATGAAAGAAGCAGCTGTGGAAACTCCAGCGTTAGGGGTATGATTAAGATTTATTTCTTTTTGAAAATATACCCATAAATTTGTCATACGTATGAAAACAACTATAGAACCTTCAACAATTTATCACAACAGGATCACACAAATTTAACACCCACATCCCTGCATTACAAAGAGTTGCCCTTAATTGATTTTCTATTTTTTTTCATCTAAACATTTAAAAACGACAAAAAAAAAAAAGCAAACAAAAACAAAACAAGAAAGAAGAACCCACCACAAACTCAAAGATAGCCAGAGCTACCTTGTCACCCCCTTGGGGGAGAAACCCGGACGTGCTAACCTTAAGTGGTTCGATCAAAGAAAAATGAGAAAGGAGGGGGGATTCAGCACATAAATCTGTAAAGCTCAACTTTGTCTCGTCCAAAGAGGATGCCAGCCAGTAAATCTTTGCCATTGTCTCTGGCTACAGACTCTTTTATATCATATCGAGGGATTTGTCTGGCAGGAAAATCTGCCCATGATTTATTATGTTATAAAACGGCTTTTACATGCTCTTTTTATGGTTGGAATAACACTATTGGCCACCGTTGTTTGTTGGGAACAAAGCATCTTGTTTTGCCGAAAAGTGACACAAAACCTCAGTTTATATATTAAAAAAATCCCCATCCAGTGTTCAAGTCATCAAAACGGGGACAACACTTCAAATGCAGCATTTCTTTAGGAGATACTAACTGTGACTTTGCATACAAACACAGATAATCCTCTGTTTTAATCAACAGGGGCTTTACTGCAGTTACAATAACCAAACACAAACAAAAAGCTTAAAAAAAAAAACAACAACAGAAAAACCGTCTTGGACCCCGCCCACCCCGTCGTGAACCGTTCCAACCCACAAGAAAGGCAATACGTGCACATGCACAAAAAACACACACACACACAAATGCAACACGTGCCCAGCGCCCACGTCCACGCTCGAACACAACACACACCTTTCACACTGCAGCTAAAATGGGAATTAGACAGTTTAGTCCTGACGTGTCGCGGGGATGACTGCCTCCTTCACCTCGACGTCCCGGAGAGTCGATGATTTCACTGAAAACACACGCCAAGTGCAACACTATTTCAGTCCCATATTGATATGTTGGGTTATAGTTGTATATTCAGTGTACTGTACTGTATGAGGACATGGTTTCTTATAAACACGTTTCATAGATCACTTTTATATTCACAAGTCCACTTTATCACTAGACCAACGTCATATCGTCACCCACTACAGTAATACACCACTTTCGTTTGTCACAAATCCACTTAAGTCATAAAAAAAACAAAAACAGCTTTTTTTTCTTCAGCTGATATGTGTGCACTTTGTAAATGCTTCTGTTGTGTGTCTCCGTTTTAAATCATTTTCATGTTAACTCGCCGCGGGCCGCTTGTTTCCGCCACGTCTGTAGCGGCCCCATTGGACTTTCGGGGTACGTACTCGATGTCAAAGTTGTTCTTGTGGCGCCCTTTTCCCCGGCTCCAGGCGAACAGAAGCAGGAAGCAGAACACGACCACGCCTAAGAAGGAAAGGCAGCCCATCGCTGTGGATATAATGATCGTCTTTATGTCAATAGGGAGAGTCATGTTGTACAATACTGTTCCATTCCCCCATGTGCTGTTAGAGTCTGTCAGGTAGTTTAAGCTCCTGTTGCTATAGTGAAATCTGTCCCCGGTTCCGAGGCTTTTCACAGCTAGAGATGCCGACAGGCTGGCGTTACCAGCGGGGTTACTGGCGATGCACAAGTACACCCCGCTGTCATGCAGCTCTGCCGCCTTAATTTCCAGGGTGCCGTCTGCTTGGACTTCCACCCTGCCGCTGCTTTTAGTTGTGATGTAGCGTCTGTGAGGCGTAATCCAGACCACGGAGGGTCGCGGCGCTCCCTCCGCCGTGCAGCTCAGACGGGCCGGCTGACCCTCGTCCGCCATCAGCAGCTGGGTTGTGTTCGGCCCGATCCGCGGTTTGGTGCAGATCATGTACCTGGAGACCAGGGGCTCCTTAAGGTCACGCAGCGTTTTCCCCAGGAGGTACTCGGGCGCGCTGCATTCAGGCTGGGCGTCCAAAATCTGCAGAGCAGGCGGCTTGTGGCTGTTGAGGAGCCACAGTAATCTGCAGTCGCACACCAATGGGTTTCCACCCAGGCAAAGCCTTTGCAGCGATTCCGGCGAGGCGAACACCCCCCGCTGGAGAGAGTCCAGGCGATTCTGAGACACATCTAGTAGCTGAAGAGATTTAAGGCCCAAAAAGGCAAAGGGCTCTATAGAAGCCAGATGAGCCCCTTGAAGGCGAAGCTCCAGCAGGTGTGGGAGCTGGCCGAGCTCTCCGTGGTGGATGTGCTCGATTCGGCTATACGACAGGTTAAGGTGGGTGAGGTAGGGCAGGTTACGCAACGCTGCGCCAGGGAGGGCCGAAAGGTTGGTGTTGGTGATGAACAATGTTGTGAGGTTCAGGCCGTGCAGTGACAGGGGAGGCAGGGCTTCCAGCCAGGGCCAGAAGTCAATCTCTAAATGGCGGAGACGAGTTAACCTCTTAAAGGAGAAAGGTTTGAGAAAACTAATGCTTAGGTGTCGCAAGTGTAGTTCCAACAGATTGTGCAGATGTGCCAACGCATCGGTGGGGATCACGGTCAAATTGGAGCGTTCCAGTGTCAGACTCTGAAGTCCCAGTAATCCAGTGAACGCCCGCTGAGAGATGAACACCAGCTCATTGTCGCCCACCTCCAGGGACATCAGCCTGCGCAGGTCCTGGAACGCATGGTCCAGAAGAACCACGAGCCGGTTGTGGCTGAGATCGATGTGGGTCAGGTTGGTCAGACCCGACAGAACCCCGGCAGGAACCAGCTGAAGCAGGTTACTGCGGAAGTTGAGCGAGCGCAGAGCCAGCTGGGAGCGGAACGAGCCGGGTTCCACCACGCTGATGAGGTTGTCGCTGAGGTCCAGGTCTTCCAGCTGGAGGAAGGAGGAGAAGTTGTCCGGCGTGATGATGCGCAGCTTGTTCTTGCTCAGGTCCAGGGAGCGGGTCTCGATGGGGACGCCTTCGGGGATGCTGGGCAGGCGCTTGCGGTGGCAACTGACGGACTTGGTCTGGGGAGAGCACTCGCATCGGGCGGGGCAGCTCAGAGCCGAGCTGGCGAGGAGAAGCAGCAAGGCCCCGCCCAGGAAGAGGTGGYGGTGGTGCGGGGCTGGCTGGTGCATGTCTCTTTTACCCACGATGCCCTCTGTCACGGCACGGCTTCTTTCCCAAACACGACAACATCACGAAYGAGCCCTGTAAGACACAAGTACGGACAAAAAAAATTAGTCTGCACCCACTGCAACTTTTTACATTTTCAACCACTTACACCTTACATCTGCTTAAACGGACAAGTCTTTACTCCCTTTAATGAGCCATGGCTTTCCTCTGCAAAGTGGACATAATAGAATTAATGTCACAGCGGTGCGAGATGTTAGGAGAAATGGAAATATCAGCTGCAGAAAAGTGTGAACGTTCATCCCTGTGTTAGAAGCAAAGGTTGCAGGTTAAGTGGAGATGTTTCATGTGGATGTAAGATGTTTCAAACCCGTTAAGATTGCAGCCACACTAAATGCCCGTGTGGATCCACCGGTGCAGGATGTGTGTGRGTTTTGCGTCACAGATGAAGGGTGTGTGTTTGTTCCCTGCTGAGGGAGAGAGATCGGTAGCCACCAGAGCAACAACCGACACAGGAAATTATATTATGATTAGATGTAGTTTACAGGACAAATACCAGAAAACGTAACATGAATGATTTGATTTGATTATTTTCCATTTAAAATAATTACATTAGTAAAATAAAACAAAACAAAACAATGAGTAGATCGCACGTCTAAGTCAAAAATCACGGAAACTTCTCAAATAAAATAATAATAATTTCCCTGATGTTCATGAGCATCACATACAGTTCACATATTCACTAATCTGCTAATTTAGCGGATTAGCTTTTTGCTAACTTTGAAATATGTTAGTGGACCGATTAGCTTTGCTGAATAGGTTCCACAATTTTAAATACACAAAATAGTGTAAAACTATTTTTATGCCTTTTATCCCAACTTAAATAAAAACTATTTGCTATTACAAGCAGTGCTGGAGATGTCAGGCACCGTGTGTAGCATGTAGCATTTTTAGCAGCTAAACCTCAAAATAAGAGCGTCAAAAAGAAATAAAATAACATTTAACCGTATTTAAATAACAAATTCAAAAATTGACTACATATAAATATGATGAAGTGTTTTCTATTTGTTGTTTGACTAACTTCAAATGGTATTTAAAAAAATACAAACTCAATCAAAGAAATGCTTTTATTCTGAAAGGGGTGAAATGGAAGTATCACAAGTTTGATCTAAAACTCTGGTTTGGATTTGCTGATTTGCCACAGGTGATCTCGCCCTCCTTCAAAATAAAACATGTCTCACCAGGATGAAGATTTAGCAATTAGCATTAGCTTCCTCTAATTCTTTTATCTATGTATTGTTAGCAGAGCTATGACACTTGTTTAGAGAATTACTGGTTAGCAAATACAACTTTTTGGTTAGCTGTGCATGTCACATATTATTTTACTTTAAATTATACAAGATTGAAWAAAACACATCTAATTTTAGCAGAATTACAGAGATCACTGATAAAATTAAATAATTTCGGTCCAATACTAAACCTTGTGCAACGCCACATTTTTCTAACAGTGATTCCTGATTATTTTACACGTTTAAACCTGTTGTCTAAATAACCTTTTAACCAATGATTWGCGACAACTCATACGTAGGAGCAGAAAATTATCAATTGTGTCAAAAACTTTACAGAAATCATTTTATAGCCCCACAGTGTAGTGTTGTGTTTTATTTTATTTTATTTTTTTATTTACAGCTTTGGCTATATTTTCTCTAAATTCCATCATGGATACTGATGTTGATCGGTTATTTCTAAACMCAGATAAAAGATCACTAACATAAAGTAAGTGATCTTACTGGGGCACAAGCCAGGTTTCTGTTTTTCTATCTGAGATGTCTTATATTATTAATGTAAACTGCTTTTGTTCCATAAATGTCTTGAGTATTTTTTTTATTTAATCCATTTGATTGGTTTCGGTTTATGTGCTCCAACACTTGCACASAGCTGAACTTTGTATGCGAATCTAAGCTGATTAATTTGTACTTCCTGCAATTATTGCTTCTGTTTGTTGATTTTTACTCTTGTGCGCTTTCTTTATTTACCCACTGAGATCTGGCTGCGGTTTCCAGGCGCTGAATGAGAGGTTTGTAGTGGAGAAAACCAATCAGACTTGAGTAATAAGAATACAGAGTTCAGTTGTAAAACATGCTGTCGTTCCTCAGCACAGAAAGACGCGGACCTGAACATAAAGAAACACCTTTCAGCAGCTACAGGTTGTTGAATTGACAGATGGCTGTGTAGACAGAGAGTCTGCTCATAATTGCCTCATTACCCGGCGAATCCGCATTCTGCTCATGGCTATCTTTTCCAATTAGGTGTGCAAAGCGTACGACACATCTGCGAGCTGTGGAGATTTGAATGCAATATTGTAAAAAGAGAATAAAAATGATAGAAAGAGCCTTCAAGAAGCCTTTCTGACTGCTTGCCCATCTAAAAGCGACGACCCTGCCAAAGTAAGGCGATGACGAACACACGAGACGTAAGCGTATCCCGACAGCAAAGTGAGTGACGTTCAGAAAACAGCCGGGATGAGGCGAAAGAAGCTGAGCAAGCTCGCTCCTTTTCCTCCTTCACTCACCTCCTCTCCGCCCGGCTCGTCAGCCGCGCCGCACACATCTCCCCCCCGTCCTCCCTTTAATCTCGGCATCCTCCGGCTCGCGCATCCTCCACCTGACTCCCTCTCTCCACCCAATTCTCCTGCTCGGCCTGGCGAAAGCCTCGGTCCGTTCATCAGTCCCCGCAGGCTGGGGGTGTTTTATCGATCGCAGCGCAGACACATCAGATGCCAGGAATGTAGCCCTCAACAAAGAGCAGGCCAGTTGCCACAGCAACTACAAACCCTGACTCCCATCCGCTCTGTGTAGCGTGCCAATCAAATTAATGAAAAAAATACCAGGAAGGGATAGAGTGAGCTGGATGTTGGTTTTTTTTTTTTTCATGTTTCGATAGATAAGTTGCTTTGAGACAACATTTAGATTCAACATATTGCAAGAAATCCAGTTTCCCTGCTAGGGTGCGGCTTAGTTGAAGGTGTTTTAAAGCTGTCATTCTGATGGTCTTGCTATTTGTCGACCTGTCTTGTTGCCCATCCACTCCATGTCTCTGCACCTTATTATCCGTCCACTTTCCTGCCTCTGTCTTTGTGTATTTATCAGTCTGCCTTCACCCGTCAGCCCCTCTTCCTGCCTGCCCCTCTGTTTAATAATTACAGTCCAGTTGTCTGTTGCTGCAGTGAGGATCAGCTCAGAGAGTTGTGCTCAGAGAGTCAATGTGCATGCAACCACAACATTGGTTTGTCACTTCTTTAGGCTTCTATGTTACAAAAAAAAAAAAAGGACATGATACTATGGCTGATGTTTTAATATCCACAACCTTTTCTTTGGTGCCTCAAAGTTACAAAAAAACAAAAAAAAAACAAACAGATAATATTACAAGAAGAACATACATACCACTACGTTTAATATATAAAAAAATGATGGTTTAGTCACACCAAGAAAGTCCATTGGTTCACTTCAAAAAGAAAAAATAAGTAGGTCCTCTGGATGGGTTCTTCTTTAGTGAAACGTTTCGTCTCTCCTCTGAGACTTCTTCAGTCTGATGA